CCAGGTATGACAATGATCCAGGTATGACAATGATCCAGGTGTGACAATGATCCAGGTATGACAATGATCCAGGTGTGACAATGATCCAGGTATGACAATGATCCAGGTATATCTAGAATCCAGGTATGACAATGATCCAGGTATGACAATGATCCAGGTATGATAATGATCCAGGTGTGACAATGATCCAGGTGTGACAATGATCCAGGTATGACAATGATCCAGGTGTGACAATGATCCAGGTATGACAATGATCCAGGTGTGACAATGATCCAGGTGTGACAATGATCCAGGTATGACAATGATCCAGGTGTGACAATGATCCAGGTATGACAATGATCCAGGTGTGACAATGATCCAGGTATGACAATGATCCAGGTGTGACAATGATCCAGGTGTGACAATGATCCAGGTATGACAATGATCCAGGTGTGACAATGATCCAGGTATGACAATGATCCAGGTGTGACAATGATCCAGGTGTGACAATGATCCAGGTATATCTAGAATCCAGGTATGACAATGATCCAGGTATGACAATGATCCAGGTATATCTAGAATCCAGGTATGACAATGATCCAGGTATGACAATGATCCAGGTATGATAATGATCCAGGTGTGACAATGATCCAGGTGTGACAATGATCCAGGTATGACAATGATCCAGGTGTGACAATGATCCAGGTATGACAATGATCCAGGTGTGACAATGATCCAGGTATGACAATGATCCAGGTATGACAATGATCCAGGTGTGACAATGATCCAGGTATGACAATGATCCAGGTGTGACAATGATCCAGGTATGACTAGGATCCAGGTGTGACCAACAGAGACAAGGTATGACCATGATCTTTCTGTGACTTTGATGTAATGCTTTAATAGTTACTAAGTCCTCATATGATACCTGTAAATTCGGCACGTCGACATCACGCAGTACCTGTCTCTTTCACTGACATCATGCTGTACCCGTGACTCCTACACCATCCTGCCTCCTACCACTGACTGTCATCAGCAAGCACCAGACACCCCCCCCCTATAAGAGACTACAACACTTCCCACTGCCAACATTTCTCTCTATCCTCTGGCACCATCTCCAGAGCTCCTGTCAGACAATCATTGATCCAGATAAAGCACACGTCATCACACTCAAACCCCATCTCTTCTCTCGCAACTCTAAGTAGAAAATATTATCTTTGAGTACCCCCGGGCTTGACTTGAGTACCCCCGGGCGCGGCACGCCCTCCACCGCCCCCTCAAGGCTGAAGCGGTCCCCACTCGAGGTGTTGGATTATCATAATGCTGCCATCCAGAGCACAAGTGAGTTTGTGCAGAGTGAGATTGTGCAGTTATCTGGATCACTCTGGCACTTGAAAATGGAAGGCTTAAAAAAACGAAGTGGTTTCTATCTTGAAGATTTGTTTGTGACGTTCACGAGATTTTAAAACGCTTTTAAAACGTAAAATAACTTTTCAATCCTTGAATAAACAATGTCCAACCACGCATAAATGTACGTACAATTGTTGGTTATTTACATATTAAAACCCAAATAGGTTTTGTTTTTAAGAATTTTAATTCCAAGACGCCTTAAGAAAAATGGTATTTCAAATCTAGCGTGAGAAAGTAAAGCTTTTTTTTTTTTAAAAAAAGCGTTACTAAAGAATACTTGAATAATTTTAAAAATCTGATTAAACATAATTTGTATGTTTATCAGTCATGGTGACATACTAGACATAGCATCCTTCTTTCTAAAAACTTACTACTAGATTTTGTCTAGCAGTCTGTAAAATACAGTGTATGTCAAAGAATGCTATCACGATAAAATACAGTATAAGACATAGAATGCTATCACGATAAAATACAGTACTGTACAGAGAATGTTATCACTTGATGAAATACAATATAGGACAGAGAATGCTATCAATTGATGAAATACAGTATAGTTACTGGCAGTAGTCTTTAGCCTTGATTAACTCCAAAAGCCTCGATATCACCTGATGTAGAGACGCCACCGCCTTATAAGTTGCAAGAAGATTATGTCAACTCGCGCTTTACTTGCTTCAATATCACCAGCCTCTTTATCAGATGGATGTAGAATCTACTAGAGGCATTAGATCTCTGAGATTTCGTCGGATTTAGAGAGCTCCTCGATATTTGGGAACTTATCTTTTGTCCGATTGTTCAGGGTTTTATCCACTGGAGATCGCTCATCATCGTCATCATTTTTCCTTTTCGTTCCTAGAGGAGCATAAGCCCACAACCACCCCCAAATGGTGATACAGTCTACAGGTCTTACCTCTACGCTTGCTAGCAAGGTGAATCAGTGTTGTTTAGGGTAATGGCGAGTAATCCCGTCTGTTTTTTTATGTAACTCTACATTTCTCTCGCAAAGGTGTGTATATAACAATGCATGTATAATATTGTTATAGCTTCGACACCTTCCGCGTATTTTATTCAGTAAAAAACTTATCTGCGATTGTTCCTTGCCTCACTTCATTTGATTTAAGAAAATAAGTTTTTAAACTTATTCAGACGTATTCAGATTTCCCTACCAATTACAATTTTGTTTCAAATTAAGTTTAGTGTTTGGATTTCTGTCTAATGGTCACGGTTAAGCCATTGGCATGCTAATCCCAAGTACCAAATAGTGTTAGTCGACTCTCTGTCCGGTGATGAACAAGGAAATCGACAAGCTGTTAAAAAGTAAGGAGTAGTAAAGGATAATATTGAACACGTTTAAAACATATCCCGACTTCATTGCTAACTTTATGAAAAAAAAAACTGTTTTTATCTTTACTATTCAAAAGCTTCTGATGAAATGTACTTTCCGTATCGTTAAGATGTAAAATTATAATGATCAAACTTTAGTATAGTACTAGCAACAACTTCAATGCAGTACCTCTAATAACAGACACTACCCACCTTACGCTTGTGTACAGTTGCAGTCAGTTATCAGACAGCACACAGCTGTTGTCCTGTATTAGCTAGCACTTCTGAGCCTGAACTAGCACCGTACGGTACTGAAGTTCACGACAGCCTGATCTAGCCACGTACGTCACTGGAGCATAAGACATCCCTCTTCATACTTCATCCACACTTCCATCCCTTTAGCTCTACAGCCCATATAGAGCATTGACCTGCGTCACCACCATTTTCTCAAACTGTTTACAAACTCCAGCTCTCCCCTGATCGCTCACATGTCGAGTAAATATTTGTCTCAAAGACAGGACAGGTAGAAACAACTTTGCTTTGTGTTCTAATAGCTGGAGCAGCTTATGGGATTTTTAATTTATTGTAAGGTATTTGATTATTGTAAAAGTCTCCACATATCACTGTCTAATCCAGCCAAGCTCTGGTTACATAGAACTTTTAGGACATCAAAACTACAGATGAAATGTGAAATATAAAAAAGAACGTTTTTAAATAAGGTATAATTAAAAATGACAATTATGCAAACGTTTTGTCAACTTTTGATAGTGCAACAGTATGACCAAATGTTTTCCCCTGATATGTCGGGGGCTTGTTTGCCCCGAGCCACCCCCTAGATCCGCCCATGCCAGTATTAAATAGAACGGAGTTCCTGTCCCTTTTTTTTTGGGATGCTAAAAGCTATGTGAAGAACTGTTGGTCTTTTAGCTTTCCTTTCTGTATTTAACTAGCTGTAAGACTTGGTGCCATATTCCTTATCCTTACATATTGTCTGTAGTATTTTGGTATCAACTTAATAACGCCGATCTAACAGTAAAAAATTAACTTAGGTTCAATTATACATTGATAATGGTGTGATAATGCTAGTACTAATGACAGTACTACCCCCAGCCGCTTTGGATTCCCCAATCTTCTTCTTCTTCGTTCTTAATTTTGGTGTTGGAAGATATTCCCTCCATCACAATTAAGTGTACGTGTCAACTGGTTATGCGCAGTGTTTCTTCCAGACTTTTTCTCCGGGGGGGGGGGGATGGCTGACACTGTTAAAAGTATATATATTTTATATGAATTCCATTCCGTTCGGCGTGCCCGGAAGAAACACTGGTTATGCGCCATATAGGCCGTTGACGCCGATTTCAGCCTGTTTCAGTTGTTGGATTTCGGAGCTGTCTCTCCAAGTGGGGGGGGGGGGGGAGTTGCTGATTGCTGTCCCCAGCTATCGAGCCTTATCTTCAAGAGGGTTCGAACTCGAGACTTATCGGTTTTGCAACAATGAGCTCTACTCGACCACGGCGACCCCCGCTTACCTATTGAAAGTCGGGTTACATTCAGAGATGGATGGACTCTGAGAAATCCTAGACTCCAGCCCCCGACTTTTGGGTTAGCAGTCATCAACTCTACCACCCGACCACGCCGCCCCTCTATGTAATTCAAATATCTTTGTTTGATCACTCAACACTTTTTGTATATATGTGTGTGTGATTTCTCTCCCCTCATCCCCTGGAGTGACAAGCCTTTTCTAGCCCATCTCTCCCTCATTCCCCACCCCCGTCCTGCCTCAAACCTCTGTCCCCCCACTGTCACCGAGCAGCTGTCACTCACCATCAGGCCCGTCCTGGGCCGCTACTCCCCGCACAACGCCAACCAACAGCCTTACACGCGGCGACCAATCAGAGACGAGGACACAAAAGTGATTCGGTGTCTGTGCGATGCGCTGATTGGTGTTTCTCAATGACAGGACGTGGTCGTCTGGGATTAGTGGGCGTGGCTTGAACTCATTCAACCATAACATTTATTTGTAACGTTCCTCGTAAAAAAAATTAAATCGTACTAAAATATTTTTAAGACTTCTATTTGCCAGCCTAACTGACATTAGACCTAGCGCGCTAAAAAAAATCGTTCGGCCCCACCCCCTTCCACGTTTTTTTTTTCTTCTCTCTCTCGTCTGGTCGACTCGGCCTGTCAAACGGCAGACGACAAACGCCTCGTGTCAACTGGAATCAAAGCCTGGCGCTAGAGTTGACGAAAAGCCAGCGTTAAGTCGGGACCGGGTAGACTTGGAGGATTGGCGCTCAAGTGATTGTGCCTCGGTCGTCATCTTCAGTGGACTACTCCAGACTTTCATGCCGTCATCTTAGACTTTTCGGCTACTCCAAAAATTTTCAGGATCGCAAACAAGGAAAAGATAATCCTCGATTTTTTTTCTCTACTTCAACGAAATATCCGAAGGAGAGACGATCAGTATTTACATTTTTTTCAACACACGCGGTGATTAATTTATCAGTCGTGGGAGAAAACGGGTACCGAATAAAAAAAAATTCCATTAAAACAGGATTAAAGATAGTGTAGAATCGCGTGCGAGGATTTTCGAGAAAGGATTCGGCGTGATTTTTTTAAATCACCATTATTAAAATTTGTGTTGCGATTTGTTTAAATCCCTGCCGATTGATTTATATAAATAGGTGATCGGGATTGATTGTTTTAGATTGTGTGATTGTTAACGGTGTGATTTCTGAGACTGTCGATGATCGTAGACGGAGGAAGGAACAAGTTTTAGGAGCTGAACAAACTTTGACAATGTTCATATTTCTTCGGTAAACTGAATTATTTCGGCCAATTAGTATGTAGGGTAAATATTATCTAGACTCAAACTTTAACGTTTGAATATTTTTAAAATTTTAATTAATTTTATAATCAATTTGAGTCGTATTTTCAGCTTTGAGAGAAGGGAAGCCGAAAAATTACTTTGTAGAAAGTGAATTTTAGTTAAATTTATTTTTTAAAAATTTAAACCGGACAAAACGGAGTTCCAACACAAGCAGTACTTGCTGAAGTTTAAGAAGAAGAAAAGATAAAACATCCCAGTGTTTCGTCTTGTGATCTAGCCGGCCCCAAACAGACAGACATGGAATCGCCGTTTGAAATCGCCGCCGTCAGGGGCCACAGATTTTCCGTCAAAGACCTCCTGGACCTGCCGGAATCCAAGTCGGCAGCGGCACTCGTCTCGCCGCCCGGCAACACCTGCATGTCCCCACCCCAGGGGCTGCCTCACCCGCGCCCCATGCCTCACACTCACCCCGAGGGGTCGTTGGACCTTCGGCAGGGGCGTCTCCACATCCCCATGCCCGGGGGTCTGTCGCACCGGGAGACCGACGTGTCGGCCCTACAGCACTCGTACTACGACACCGACAACCCCTACACAAGATGGCTGCATAACAATGAAAACATCCACTACGGCCGTAAGTCCACATTTTTTTTCCTGGTGTTTTGTTAAGTAACATATCTGCTTTCATAACTAGAAACCTCTACATATACTAATATGATTGCAGGTTACATTAATTGGTGCCAATATCTTCTTGTATCTACTCATAAAATTAACGAATGATTTAACCATAAATATTAACAAGTTGTAATAACGGTTGTTTTTGTTTTACGTCCCCGTTACATGGTGCATAAGCCCCCCCCCCATTTGTTTTATTTACATTTCAAGAATTCAGTAGACAACGAAAGCTGAACCCTAACTACAAGACGCTAACTAATCTAACATTAGCAGTTGCCTTAAACCTTTCATTATATGCAATAACGAGAAGATGAAATATAATGCTAACCATAAAACTCTAACTTATCTAACATTCTCCACTGCTTTTAAAACCTGAGCTTAAACCAACTTTTAAATTAAGTAAATGAATGTTACAAGCTAGATGAGAACACGAAAATGTTTTCACTTCTCTTAGAGGCAGTATCTCAGTAGAAAACATGGCGCTATGTCACACATGGGTCGCGTCATAACGTCCACATAACTTAAACCCTTACCACATTCTGTTCATACAAAAACTATCGCGTCATAGCTACCACATAATTTAAACCCTAACCGCTTTCTGATCATCTTTAAACACTCATACAAAACCAATTGACTAAAATATAACAGCGCCGGAAACACAGTTTGTTAACATGGAATCTTACTAGCCTTTACCGATTTAACCCACTAGGGAGCGTAATCAAACGTATCAAATTAGGTAGCCTACTTCAATTTTTAGCATTACTAAAAGGATATTAATTATTATTAAAAAATATTACAAAAAGAATAATATCTTTCTTTTAACAAAATTAAACGCAAAACTCTATTCTCTGAAATGTGAACTGCTAAAATTAGAATAATGTTGGTTCTTATGTGTTGGGAAATGGGGTAAGCATACCGATTTTATTTGTAGATTTAGGGTTAAGACTACATTCATAAGGCATAACATTGCAAGACTTTTGTATTCTTAGATTGGAGAATTAAAATGAAAGAAATAGTATCATTTATGCTCATTCCGTTAACTGTGTTTTGAATCTAGTATTTGGAGAGTTGCGTATGTCATTTTTAACAATTAAAACAGTTTTTAGAAAACAAAGAAATGTCGATAAATTAAGATCAAGCCAGCGTTAGCCGAGGTACAGTTATTGTTCTAATATTGCACCTTCAACAACCAAGCATTATTGGAGAAATAAGGCAAGCTTAATGAATGTCCGAGCGATGTGTTAATTATCTTAGGGGATGTTACTCTAGCTATAGAACTCAGGTGATGTTAGTTGTATTTTCCTTTATGAGACCGGTAATAGTGAATATCACATTGTTCATGTGGTAAGTCAGTAGGGCTGATCTGTCTTGAGATATCACGGTCTAGAACAGGACATGTATGGTCTGACTAGTTTAAAACTGGGTGGTTTATTTTCTATTAATTTTTTGTTAAAAAGCGTGGTCGAATGGTAGAGTATTCGACTGTTAGCCCGAAGGTCTAAAGTTCGGACCACAGTTCGAACTCCGTCTTCCTGGACGTCACTGAGTCCACCCAGCTCTGGTGGGTACCTGACTTACGTTATGGAAACAAAAGGCGGCTGGGCATAATACCGACCACACTATTCCCTTGTATGCCGAGGTCATTGAAACAGATGAACTTTACTTCGTCTGTCCCATGTGTCTTGGGCACGAACAGGAAAAGATGAGGATGAATCCAAAAACAAAACAGATTTAGTACAACTGTGAGTAAAATAAGGAGCATGATATTTTATATACAGCAAGACATTTTCCCATACAGAATAAGTCATATGACTTTATTCAGTAGCCTCACTCGGCGGGGGTGGGGATACACTTCGCAACGGGTGACACTTCTTAGAGGGTGACACCTAATCGAAAAAAAACAATAATTCCCTTTTCTAACCTGACGGTCTACTGGGGCAAGTGAAGTAGATAAAGTGTTCAGCACAATACCCAGCCGCCTTTACTTTCCCTAACGTGAGCCAGGTATCTATTAGAGCTGGGTGGACTCGGGGAGGGTCTACTGAAATTCGAACACGTCATCCCATTAAATCGAGAAAGAGTAAGTAGAATAATTATATAGTAGGTGGGGGTGACATTAAACCAAAAATGCTAAATTGTCGGAGGCGCGTGGGTTGACGCCCTCAGTTGTAACGTACCGGGTGACCCGATCTAGTGACGACACTGACTTCAAACAATTTTAGAGTTTTTAAGCAACATTTTCTCTGTTCACTGTAAGTCTAAGCCTATGTTAGGTTTACATGATTTTTTTTCCTTAAAAGCGGCATTTGTTGATTCGCTTCAAACAGCATTCATACCTTGACATTAATCTATGCAACATTTCTTTTTCTCGAAATTTAGTAACAATCTGTTCTTGAAATTTACTACCTTTGTGTTTAGTTTTTAAAATTTACTAATATTTTATTTTAAAATGTTTAACTTTCCTTTTTTTATTTTACAAATGTAGAAAAATAATATAAGGACCGTCGGTAGATATCAAGCCATTAATTTTTCCCTTAGCCAAAAAATATCTATGCAACCTATATTGTGTAAGCTCATTTGTAAGTAATAGTAAGGGGAAAGTTTAGCATACCACGAAATATTTGTGTTAAAATGTATTGTGATCAATGACGTTAGATTAATTTACTCCCCCCCCCCCCCATTGATGAGCTATGCCAGACCAACATATACCCCAGCATAACAAACAGCTGAGTTTTTAAACATGCGACAAGATAATTAAACCTAAGTAGCCGCGTGGGATAGAATCGCAATCGCATGATTGGAAAACGGCTTTTGAACACCAAATAACAATAATAACACAAACTTATTGACTAATGGTCGAAACTCATCATTGATGTTTCCTATAAATAATTTCATTAATGGTCACATGAAGGACTTGGCATTGCGACAGGACGTGGCATAAAAAAATTAACATTGATGTTTCAACGCCCTTGCAAGTAGAGGGGACTAGCCATTCTTAAAGGCCAGTGTCAATTCAGTTAAACAAAATCCCAGGATAAATTCGTATTATGAGCATGTAATTCCTTTAAAAAGTGAACGAAAGAGCCCAGTGCTAAAAGTACTTAAGTCACATTTTTATGAAAATCAAACCAAGCATTGATCGTTATTCCTCTAGATTAACTTTATCTTATAAACAAATAGTGATACTGAAGAATTTATTTAATTTGCTCTTCCAAAGAAACAAATAATATAAAAACGTACTGTTTCATAGTAGATTTTAATCTTTGAACTAATTTTTCTCAAAATGTTGTTTTTGTGACTTAAGTACTTTTAGCACTAAGGTCTTTGCACTTACTTAGTACAGAAAATGTTTAAAACAAAAATGTTTTTTTAACATAATTTAATGGCGTTTAACTTGGTAGATGGGACCGCGTAATCGGATGGTAGAGCATACGTTTGCTAGCCTGGAAGTCTCGAGGTCGAATAACGGGTACTCACGTTATGGTAAGTAAAGGCGGCTGGTAATAGTGCCGAGGTGACTGAAACAGGTGAACTCTACTTCACCTACCACACGTCCCTCAGGCTCAAAAAATAACTTACTTGGTATAGCGACAGCTGTCACTTGTGTTCAATAACAATCACATCTTCATTAATAATTAACTCATCTTGGTGAGCTAGAGAAAGACGCGCCATAGAAAGATATGTATGAACACATACACTCGTATGATTTAATATATGGAAGTAAGATAGGGCGAACTTCAGTGATGTTCTTTGACTCATGATAGAAGTTTTGTTTACACAACAATTGTTAAACGTTGCACGGTTGTTGATATAACAATTGGTAAACTATACAGGGTTGTTTATATAATTATTGGTAAACTTTGTATATATCATGGTATTTTGAGCGTAGTGTAGTGGGGGGTGGGGTGGATATTTGGCGGGAAAATGGTGATACACAGGATGATTGTGGTGAGACAAAAGTGTGACAGTAGTGAGACTACAGTGAGAGTATTGGTCTGACTGGTTATGTTTGAGAGGAAAGGTGGTGGGTGGGGGAGGAGAGGAGAGATGTCCCTGGCATCACACTTTGCTGATATCCCCTCAGCCCCTATAAAGAAAATGTATCCTTTTACCAGTTTTACCGTTTGGAAAATTTAGCAATGATAAAAAAAATACCGCTTATATAATTTAAATCTTATATTAATTATAATTATACATCAAGTTGAAACTCCCCTCCCCCACCGGCTAATAAATGTACATGCCAAGATTAATTGTATGTTATAAGTTTATAAACCAAATCTCTAGCGATAAATGAATAAATTAATGAATTAACGTCTTCGCTTATGTCCTTGCTAATGTTCAAAGATACGGGGTAGTTGACTATAAGAAAACCTAGTACAGTTAAGTTGTCCGTTTGAAGACCTAAATAAATGGGAACAAACCTTTTAATTATAAATATGAAACTATCTGATACATTCACTTGTGAGCATTGTTTAGTTCAAAGTAAGCTGTTAACTGATTATTGTAATACCACATTTTTTCACGGAGTTAAAATTAAGTTATTTTTTTCCCCATACTTGGCTTTTTTCTTCTTTGCTAATAGCCATTAATTAACATCAGAAAAATATTTCCTTTGCCAAAAATGATTTAAACATTTCGAGATATCCGCGGAGGTTTGGTTTATTTAATTCGTGAAACTTCATTACTCTCTGAATTTTTACTAATTTAAAAAAAAAATTCAACAGTTCTTATACGAGTTATCAATATTTTCAAACTTCAGTGTATTTGCAAAATATTATTTAACTTAATTATAAAACCATCAACATACTGCATAGTTAAAATATCATTAAACCCACATCGCCAGGTTCCAAAACTTAATCAAGCACACTAATTACCACTTGTACAGCAAGCTATTACGTAAAATAATTATTCTTACTCTCTATTTACAAAATCTAAACACATTTTACAGAGGTAACTCCT